GAAGAGTGAATGTTCATGCAATACTATGATTCACATCTGAGAAGACAAAGGCCTGCATAATGAGCCTTTCAGCCAGGTGTGTGACTGAGAGGGAATTGCTACAAGAAAGAATATGAGGAAAAAAGAAATGTATATATTTTTAGTTTGTAGTTTATTTAGAATATATATAACTATCACATAAAATAACTCGAGATTAACTTGCGAGTGCAGTTAAACAGTTTATTAGGAACAAACATGTCCAGGTGTGAGGGGAGAGGGACACAGACGATCTTATGTACTATACTTGAATTTACACATGTAGTGGCACAACCAATACATTCATGGCAAATCTATGCAAAAACAGACATTCAAGGTAAAAAAAAAGTACAAACAAGAACAGTCCCATATAAAAAAGGGGGTGTAAGGTTTGTAAAAGCCAACTCTTACACCAAATACACAGTCACACATCTCTGTGCCACTCTTGAAAGCAGTTCCTGTTCAACTGAAGACAGAGGTGAACATTGCATGCCTGGCATTTCCATGGTGTTTTTTGTTTCTTACCATGCACTGCTTTGCAATGCACAGAGCACTTGCGACCAGCAGTGGCATTATTCCTGGCATCTGAGGTCAGGTCAGTTCCTGGAACTGGCACATGGTCACTGGTCCATTTTTGTGCTACATTCTGTGAGACACCATAAAGCTCTGTGATAAGTTGTTCCACATACTCTATATGGGACAAGTTACCATATAGTTCTTTATGCACAATGAAAGCATTGGTGGCAGCAATGTCCAATGAGTGTAGAAAGATCTTTCTGTACCACTTCATTGTTTTGTGCTGTGCAGTGCAGTACTGTATCAGCTTATCAGACAGGTCAACGCCCCCCATGTGCTGGTTGTATGCAGTCACAGGTGCAGGACATGGAAATATCTTTGTCCTCCATGTACCTTGTGATTTCACTCTCCTCTGCACAGTGTTTCCTGTACAAGCAGGACGGATGGTAGAACAGACAGATACCTCTCGTGTGTCCATCCACTTCCCAAATGCAAGAGGTCCATCCCGAACCCACCTGATGGATCCCCTAGCAGACTTTTTAGTGAGTGAATTATCTGCAATCCCGAGGGCAGTCCTTCCTGTTGTCTCTGTAAGTCCCACATGCACCAAACTTCATGGTATGCAAGTCTTTTAGGAGCTTTGGACTTGTGTAGAAATTGTCTATGTACACATGGTACCCAGAGCCTAAAACTTTACAGTCCAAAAGAGATGTCACAGCATCATATGATAGTCCTTGGCCTGTGGGATAGTTGTTCTTTCCTGTGTACACAGAAAAGTCCATGGTGTATCCATTTGAGGAATCAGCTAGAACAAACAACTTGAAGCCCCACTTAGTTGGCTTGGCTTTCATGTACTGTGTCATTCCTGTGTTTGCTTTGCATGCCACCATTCTCTCATCCACAGCTAGATTTCTTTTTGGATGATAAATAGCTTTGCAAGCATGGCGGATAGTGTCCATAAGAGGTTTAACCCTGAACAGACTATCATGTTCAGATGTGCCCCTCTTTCTGTCATTCTCTTTGTCTGCATCTGGGTGACTCATGTGCACATTCCATGAAATTGTCCAGTATCTATCTCTTGGCATAACTGTAGCTGGAAAAGGTACTGTGAAAATATTGCTCTGTTGCCAGTAGTCCCTGATGGAGGGCAACTTTACCATGGCCATGTAAAATATGATCCCAATGTAGCGGTACAGCTCACTGATGCTGACATCTCTCCATTTATATTTGTGTCCCTTTGCAGTTGCCTTAGCAGCCTGAACATTGGTGTTCAGGTACAGAGTTGACACAGCACTCTCTGAAAAAAAAACGTTTGAATAGACTCATTGGCGAATGTGAGTCAGCAGAGCTCAGTTGTGGTCCAGGTTCCCGTGCAGGTAGGAATCGCAGAGTCTTTGGAACAGTGTCATCATCAGTCTGTGGTTTCCATGACATGGTGGACTGCCTGCACCTTGTCTTTTGTTTGCCTTTGCTCTCTTTGGAACAGGTGGCTGATCATTTTCCCTGTGCTGCCAATTATATAAAAAAAATTTTTTAAAACAAAACATGAGCATGCTGATAACACAATAAAATAAACTATTGTATTTTGTTTTTCATCATCATCATCATCAATCACTAATGACCATGCATAAAGACACAAGTTTCAGTAATATCATACAAGTACATATACTTTTTGTATTATGATGATAGAAACAAAATTACATCTGTAAAATATTAAGTCTGTGCACTTACTCCTGCTAATGACACAAATAAATTATCATTATCAATCATTATGTAACAGATCGGCCAGGCTCCACCACCACCCAATCACAATGATCCCTCTCACCTGAGTTCTGAACACCTGCACCTGTCACTAATCAAGCACCTCATCAACCAGGCTGCATAAAAGCACACACCTCATTGTCCGGTCTCGTATACATGTAGAGGACTCAATGACTTTGCTACTGCTTCCATTTGAATACTTCCTATATTACTTGCCTCCTGTGTTCCTCCTAGTGTCTCCTCGTCTCCAAGTGTCTCCTGTTCCTCCTAGTTCCCGGCTCACTGAGGTGTGTGTGCTTCTCCTGTGTGCATTCCAGCTCCTGTAAAGACAAAGACTCTGATTATTCCCCTCGTCATATCCTTTGAACTGTTCTACGAACTATTCACTCACCATATCATCATCTGGATCCTACACACATACTCTGTGAACTAATAAAACTGTTTGTAAATACTAACCTGTTGCGTCAGACCTCTTCCGTTACAGAAGAGCGGACCAACACCGACGGCACCGATGAGTCACCCCGATCCTTTCTAGGAGCTCGTAGACTCACTACGAAGAGTTCTATGTAATCCACCGGCACCGCCGCCATCACCATCCATCACCTCCTCCAGCCCAATCAGCATTTCTTTGCCTACCATCATCGCTAGCCCCATGGCCCGACCGTCGCCCTACTCTAGCTCGGCGGAGGAGTGCAACGGATTCCTACTCCAGTGTAATCTCACATTTGAAATGCAACCGCAATCATATCCCACTGACACCTCAAAAATTGCCTTTATTATCTCCCTGCTAACAGGACCTGCGTTGCAATGGGCGGAAACGATCTGGGCTCAGGCCAGCCCCGTCATTCACAATCTGCAGAACTTCATGGTGCATTTTCACGAGGTGTTTGGAAGGACAGACGGAGATACCGCTGTGGGAGAACAACTCTATCATTTGCAACAGGGTACCATGTCAATTGCCGAATACGCTCTGAAGTTCAGAACTCTCGCAGCAGGAACTGGATGGAATGAGAGCTCGCTGCTGACTACCTACAGACAGGGGCTGGAGCCCCAGCTTCGGCTATAGCTCGCTGCATATGATGATTCATTTAGATTGGAAAGATTCATTCAGCTATCTATCCGATGCTCAATCCTCATGCAGTCCTGTCTAGACGCAACACCAGTCTCCGCCACAACCTCTTCCTCCACCGACCAGAGCCCTGTTACCCGCCAGAGCCAGCACCAGCACCAGAACCCATGATTGTGGAGAGGCAACGGTTATCTTCCGCTGAGCGGCAGAGAAGGCTGACCAGGGGTCTCTGTTTATACTGTGGGGCTCAAGGGCATATGATCTTGTCATGCCCCCTTCGCCCTCCACATCCTGTGGTGAGTGTGATTCAGCCTGATATCATTAAGATGGAGCACCTCACTACCTGTGTAATGCTTACTGCCTCTGTCTCCATTTCAGTATCGGCCCTTATCGACTCCGGGTCAGCAGGAAACTTCATCTCCCGGAACCTCTGCCGCCAGCTCAAGTTACAAGCTACCACCACTGAAACAGTTTACCAAGTCCAGTCAATAACTGGAAAACCACTCTCGTAGACATGTACGATATCGCGTGGGACCCATCACTCTTCGTCTGGGGCTACTTCATTCTGAAGACATTCATCTTCTGGTTCTGGAGGGGTCTACTGCTGACATCATCTTAGAGTGCCCGTGATTGGTAAAGCACAATCCCATTCTGTCATGGAAGACGGGAGAAGTCCTGAAGTGGGGAAAGGATTGCTTCACAGATACTTCCCCGTGACTCCATCACCATCTAAGAAACTCACAGACGTCCTTCCAGTGAATTCAACCTCCATCGAGAGTGCCATCGAGAAGCAATCCATAGACATTCCAGCCTGCTATGCTCCCTTCAACGACGCATTTTGCCCGAAACAAGCCTCCCGCTTACCACCACATCGGCCATGGGACTGGGCCATAGATCTCATTCCGGGTGAGCCAGTGCCTCTGGGAAAAATCTATTAATCAAGGAGGCGCTGGGTCAAGGTTACATCCGTCAATCTAACTCCCCTGCTGCATCGAGCTTCTTCTTCGTGGCCAAGAAGGACAGAGGCTTGAGGCCCTGTATAGATTACCGAGCATTAAATAACATGACCAAGTTCCGATATCCTCTTCCCCTTGTAAGGAATCAGCTCATGGGAAATATGAATAATTAATCATAACTAGTTATAATTAATTATGAATATTTTAGATCTGCCACACATAAACGTGTCTCACACACACACACATACATATATATATATATATATATATATATATATATATATACACACAGTTTGTATAGGAAAGGGTTCAAGCTTAACCCTTTGAAGAGAAATAAGAATATGACGTTATTGAACCATTTGCATATTCAGCAGATTTACACCTGAGGGAAACATCAGATTCTTAGTTCAAACACACCTTTGTAAAAAGGTGCAAATGATACCTAATGTATCAATTAATAAGACTAAGTTTGAATACTTGCATGTCTCGTCTGTCTGAAAGAAAGGTTTGATGCAATCTGAAGGCTCACGTGGATCTTAGGGTTAGGTTTTGAAAATTAGGGTTAGGTATATAGATAAAAACGAGTTTCACCCTCATTAATTCGACCCTCATTAGCATATGCGATCTGATTGGCCAAAGCTTACCTGGCCGTATCTGGTGAAGCGGGGGTGCATATGCGATCTGATTGGCCAAAGCTTACCTGGCCGTATCTGGAGAAGCGGAGGTCCGATCTGCACATAACTGGTATCGTTGGATTCAGGATGCTGTGGTCTTTCAGGTAGCGTGGATGTATGGAGGAAAGGGTTTTGCTTTCAAATCCAATGTGACCGTACAACAGTCTAAAAAGTGACAAAGTCAGTCAGTCATCGGAAAAAATACATCCAAATGAAATAACCTGGGAAATCAATTGTCTTTTTAGCAAGAAGGTATTACACGCCTGTATAAAAACAGTCTTCCAGCCAGTTTGTGTGTGCGAGTGCGTGTGTGTGAGTGTGCACAGGTGTGTGTG